CGAGCAGAAAATCTTAGCGTGAAAACAAAGATTTGAGAGAGCACAGAGAACTTTTGAAAGAGAGCAGAAATTTTGTGCGCGAGCAGAAAATCTGAGGGTGAAAACAAGATGTGAGAGAGCACAGAGAACATTTGAGAGAGAGCAGAAGTTTTGAGATCAAAGAGGTGAATTCCTGCTTTCAAACTGAAAATGTGTGCTCTCGACAAATGTCAGTGAAATTCCTCCATATGCAGCTTTATGTGACCACAGTCTGTCTGTGTGTGCTGCAGTGACCCAAAGCAAACAAACAAACAAACAAACAAACAAACAAAAACAACAATTGCAGAGTACAGATTACCAGTACAGATTAATGAACCTGTGTTCCCACAGAAAAACATAAATTTATCGTCGTACCTTCTCTCTTGTTGTTGCGGAGACATTTGACTCTGGGCAGCTTAGTGAGCAGCTGGCAGTCACTTTCTGAAAATAAAAATAAATAAATGAACACCATGAATAAAATATGAATATTGAGTACTGAATAATGTGTGCTTTGAAAGATTATGATTCCTCTGAAACTCAGCAGGGGTGTTCGGCTGCTGAAAACCTCTTCAGCAGCCGAACAACAAGCCAAAGCTTGGAGTTTGATAAATCAGACACTCGTCTGCTCGCTGCTCCGCTGACTCTCAGCTCCCTGCTGGATTTCTGACTTGTTTTCATTTATTGCTTCAAATCAAAGCGCCTGCAGAAATGCATATTTAGGAAACTGTGGTGGAAAGAGCCAAAGGAGAACATGGAAGTAGAATCCCCAGGATACAAGTCATTTTACAGAAGAGAAAATAAATTCTTAATACTTGTTGCCCATTAATCCATAGATAATGGATACGTATTACATGGAGCAAAGTAGTAATATTTGAAAATAACGCTTTAATTATACCATCAGGTGGAAAATACAACAATAAACCAAAGACAAAGAAGTTACGCCTATAAGGAGAAAATAGATAAAAACTTTCATTTTTTTAAGAATAAACTTTTTTACGTCCTTCTGCCAGCAAAACAAAAAACTTTACTCGCTTAGAATAAAAACACGAGGCCTGGTTTGGACCAATTTGGTTAATTTAATTGTTTTCAGAAACTCTGGGAACTAGAAGTAAACCTGCAGAGTGCAAGATGCTCTGTTTGGAAAATATGGAACAATTAGATCTTTAATAATCTTTAATATACAGTAAGACGAAGCTTTGTTGTTGAGAGCTTTAGTTTTCAGAAGAAATGTTCTTCTAGAGGTTTAAACACCCAATTTAATTACTTAACACACACA